TAGTTCGCCACCATCACCCGGATGCGTATGCTGTCCCTCTCGCTGTGCTTGTAGATCTCCTTAAGCAGGCTGACGCCGTTGGCGGTGATGAAGGAGGCGCGTTTGGCCTTGTCGGCGGCGTGGATCAGCGCCTCCACCGCTACCAGCTGGTGGGCCTCGCAGACAGAGGCGCAGAGGGACAGCAGGCTGTCCATGATCCCCTCCAGCTCCAGCACCCTGTTCCCGGCATCCGAGGGGCCCTGCAGCAGGCACGACACCGTCTGGATGGCCCGCAGCTTCCCAGCCAGCTCGTGCCCCTCGAACCAGCTCCTGCAGGGGAAGACCACCAGGAAGTATAAGGCTGATCCCACCCACCGCCTTCAGCCACACACAGCCCCATCTGCCGAGCCCCAGCACAGCAGGTCTCTGGCGGGTCTGCAACCTGCTTTTATCACTAAGAACAAAAGGTCTGGGGACAGGGCAGCTGCTACTTCCAAAGAAGGCTGCTGCCTGTACGAGACTGAATCCCCCCCTCTGCCCCCAGGGGCGCCCGGGCTCACCTAACGTAGTCCTCACACAAATGGTGGAAGTTCTCCCTCTCAGCATCACATTTCAGGTCATCGTAAAGCTTGCTCAGCAGAACCGAGGCACTCATCCGGCTGTTCTCTGTCACGGGCAGGCTGCCCGGGGTGCCGCACACTGTACTTCCCACCTCCAGGATCTTCTTCAGGCCTAGGAGGATACAGAGGTCAAATACCCGTTGAAGAGCAAAAGGGGTGCATGGTGGAACCAAGGTGCAGAGCACTCCAAGGCAGAGGGGCATGATGCCCCTGTGGGATGCTGCAGGTTGTCCTGCTCACCCTGGTCAATCACCCAGAGGCTCATGCTGTTGTTGGTCTCCTTTGGCGACTTCCTGGGAACCACCTTGATGAGCAGGTTGAGGGCGTTGTCACGGCCATGCGCAGAGGCCCCTTCCAGAGCTAACAGCTCCAGGAGGTGCTTGATCAGCAGCTTCAGGTCCTTGGAGGAATCTTCCAGGAGAGACAGTGCCCAGCAGTCAGCGCCCTGGGCACAGGCCTCACCAGTGCTGTGGTGAGGCTGGCAGGAGATGCTGCCATGACCAGGGGCTCCTGCCTCCCAGCTCAACCCCATGTTAACCCTGGACCAGAGCCCCAGCTCTGTGGCAAGGCCCAGTGACAAGGTGGGCAGCGGGAGAAGAACCCTCTGCAGCTCAGCACCTCCCCAGGGCGCTCTCCCCACCCCACGCCAGCCAGCTGGGGCAGCGGGCACTCACCCAGCACCACCGCATCCTCCTTGCCACGGAAGTCCTTCTGCAGCCCCTCCTTCAGCGAATCGAACATCACGTGCAGAAGATTGCAGGCAGCCAGGGAAACCTGTTCGTGCTCCACACCCAGCACGGCTGAGAGACGAGGGGCCCCCAGCTCCGCCAGGATGGCCATGGTCTGCGGGTACAAGCACAGCTGCCTTGGCATTTCCCAGTGCATTGCCAGGACAGACTTGTCACAAGGATCTTACAAACTCGGGCCTGGCAGGTGACAGCTCAGAGCTCCTCTGCTCAGCAGGACTGCAGGCAGCCACAGGCAGAGGTCAGCGACCCTCCCCTGCCTGACACCCTTCGCAGCCTCCCTGACATCAATTTCCCCTGGGCCAGGCGCTATCACGCAGGACAGTCAGGCTACGGTGGGACCTACCCGGGAGCGGTGCCCAGAGCACAGCCCCACCAGGGTGCGCAGGGCCGCCAGCATCAGGTCAGCCTTGGCCGTGTCGAGCAGCTGCGTCAGCAGCCTCACACCATCGCTTTGGAAGATTTTCTCTGCTCCGGCCTCCTCTCGTGCCAGCACAATCAGGTTCTGCGCAGCCTGGGAAAGGAGAGCCGTGTTGGGATCACCTTGCCCACCAGAACGCAGCCCACTGTGCGCAGGGAACCTTCCCAGTAGGAGCCAGCTGGGCAGCCAGGGCAGCCGCAGGCACCCGCCCTCCTCCCCCAATCTCTGGGGAGCACGTTCTGCTGGTGGGAAGCTCGGCCGCCCCCAGGCAGCACTGTTCAGCCAGCAGCGCTGGTCTGGGAGTACCATTCCTCCCCTCCTCGCCTTCCACATTGCCCTCTGCTCCCCAGAGCTCAGACCTTTTGCTTCTTGTCCGCATCCTTTTCTTCAGGATCCAGCAAGATCTGGAACATCTGCTCCACCTTTGAGTCCGTGCAGGACATGGTCTTCATCTGAGGCAGAGCAGAAAGAACACCTCAGTCCTCACCACCTCCCTCAGCCCACCACACCCATGGGGGGGCCACAGCAGCAGCAGCCCCACGCGCTGCCTCCCCGCTCACCTTCTCGTGCATGCTGCTCCCCAGGGCGCGCAGGGCCTCCTGGAAGGCCTTGTTCTTGGGCTCCAGGCTCACGCACCGCTGCAGGTCACTGACAGCCTGGTCCAGGCGGCCCAGCTTCTGCAGCGCCTGGCTCCGGCGGAACAGCGCCTTCATGTCCCGACCATCAGCTTCAATGGCTGTGGATGAGCAGGGGGATCTATCGCCAGAGGCCTTGGACTGCTCCAGTCTGCCCGGATCGGCAGCACACAGAGGCCAGTCCCCTGCCAGCCACCACTGACAGTACCTTTAGATGCATCAGCCTCTGCCTTGGCGTAATCTTCCTGTAGAGAGAGACAGTCAGCGAGAGGGGAACGCCTGACGTGCTGCCCGTGCAGGCCTCGCTCAGCCCAGCCCGCTGTGCGCAGAGGCAGCACCCACCGCTTTCAGAAAGAGGAGCAGGGAAAGGACTGTGGGGTTTGAGGACGGGAACAGTGTCCCTGAAGACGGTGAGCCCGCCCGGCAGGACATCCCATCCTTCCCAGAACGCAACCCTCATGGGTCCCTGAGGAGCCCTAGGGCACCCTGATACTTTTTGAGCGCTCCTGGTCCACCCCTGGCCCTGGAGCTCCTTGTATTCCCCCTTGCCTCAGAGACAACCTCGTGGCAGGAGATGAAAGACCCTTGTGACTGCCTGGGGAACAGCCCCAGAGCACACACACAGCAAAGACACAGACGGGAGCATCCTGCCCAGGCCCCGACAGCCCACCAGGGACAGGGGGCAGCACAGGACAGTGGGCAGGGCCAGGAGAAAAGGTGAGTGGAGGAAACACCTGACAGCGTCCTGCCCAGGGAAGCACGACGCCCTGCCCGGGGACAGACAGTGCCTCCCAGCGCAGGCGCGCAGCTGGCGAAGGCGGCTGGGCCGGGGTGGC